AAAGATAAAGAAAACCAAATGTAGGCACATTATCATAAAACTGGGAAAAACAAAGACAAAGAAAAAATATTTAAAGCAGTGGGAAAACCCCACAGTATCTTCAAAGCAGCAAAAACTAGACTGATGGTTGACTTTTCAAGAGAAACTACAAAGCCAGTCCAATGGAAATACATTTCTAGAACACTAGAAGAAAAATTACCTGTGAGGAATTCTAGTAAAAATATCTTTCAGAAAGGCAAAATAAAGATATTATCAGACAAAACGAAAGCTGAGATATTGGCACTACAATGAACGTTGAGTAAGTTCTTTAGAAAGAAGACAAATGATTCCAGTCAGAGGAATACAATTGGATGAAGAAAAAAAGCAGCAGAAAGGGTAAATGTATAGATAAGAGTGAAGAAAATTAGCTGTTAAAAACTTGTGGGATTTTTTCATAGCAGCACAATTTACCATAGCTAAGATCTGGAAACAGCCTAAGGGCCCATCAGCAGATGAGTGGATTAAAAACCAGTGGTACATCTACACAATGGAATATTACTCTGCGGTAAAAAAGAAGGAATTCTTACCATTTGCAACAGCATGGATGGAACTGGAGAGCAGTATGCTAAGCGAAATAAGCCAGTCAGAGAAAGATAAATATCACATGATCTCACTCATTTGTGGAATATAATGAACAGCATAAACTGATGAACAAAAAACAGATCCAGAGTCAGAGAAGCATCGATTAGACCATCAAACCTCAGAGGGAGGGTAGGGAAGGGTGGGGGTAAGGGGGAGAGATTAACCAAAGGACTTGTATGAATGCATATAAGCCTAACCAATGGACACAGACACCAGGGGGTTGAGAGCATGAGTGGGGGGTGGGGGGACAGTGGGGGGATAAGAACACATATGTAATACCTTATTCAATAAAGAAAAAAATTGTGGGATTTATAACATGTAGTAGAAAATATATGACACAGGAATAGTGCAAAAGGTGAGAGGGAGTTGATAGGGTTCATTGCAAGGTTTTTTGCTTATCTTAACGGGGGGGAAGCGCATAAGAGAGGCACTATTGAATCGAGGAGCACACTGAAATCTTCAGTATCACTGATGAAAACACACAAGGCTGTGAAACTAAGACGCTCCTAGAGGAAGATAAATGGGATATTTTAAAAGATGCCTGATTGTTCTAAGAGAAGAAAGAAATGAAGAAGTAATGATCAAAGAAAAGTGGGACAAAACGAGACAAATAACAAGATGGTGGACCTAGACCACTTCCACGAAAGAACATGACCTCTCCTTGGAGGAAGGGCTGACTCTAGGACGGAGGCCGAGAGCAGGCAAGAGGGGCCGGACAGACCTCGGTGGTGGATCTGTGTCACGGGCAGGCAGGAGCTCTCTGGAGGAGCTCCCAAAGGCCAAAGCTGGGGCCATCTGAGCAAGGACAGATGAGGGATAAATAAATCTCCATGAGACCACGCTGATATAAATTCAGGGGGAGTCAACAAATCTCTGTCCTGACAATTCCAAACAATTTATAGGCACTCCACCCTCGAGGAGGCGGAGCCCAGTCTCCACTTCTAAAGGAGGGGCTGTGAAAAGGGGAGCAGGAGGGGCAGGGACTTCCTGGGGGAGGAGCCATGAAACAGCACTGGGCCAGTGATCGAGGCTCATCAGCGGTGATAAGCCGTGTTCATGTATGCACCTTGCGGGGGCAGCATCTTACCTCTGCAGTCCTCCACAAACATAACCCCAGTGCAATCGTGGAAAGATGGATCAATCCCAACTATGAGATGTCCTACAAAACTGTCAAGTCTTAAAAATCAGGGAAACTGTAACAACAAGGAGAAGCCTAAGAAAACACAACCAAAGTGGGGTTGAGGGTGAGATCATAGGAGCTAACATTAGGTAAAAAGTAAGAAAATCTGAATTAAATATGAACTTTGGTTGATGTACCAATAGTGGTTCATTAACTATAACAAACTTATTTTAATTAAAGATACTAGTAACAGGGAACACTGGTGCAAAGCTTATGTGAACTCTCCATACAATCTTCTCAACTTTTATTTTTAAAGTTGTGAAGGTCAATGCTTCCGCTCTGACTCCGTCCCCGCCTGCTGCCAGTGGTGGGCGGGCGAATGTTTCACAGCCAACCCTGAGGGTGGAGTGGGAGCCTTCATGCATACCATTTGCCACTTATAATTCCCACCCCGTGGCCAAGTTCAAATGCTCAGTTCCATGTTGAGAAGAGATGCAGTTGGCAGCCAATAGGAGCCTGCCTGTCTCTAGGCCCGAGAAGCCAGGAGTGGCAGGGCAGCCACCACTGACCTTGAGTGTGAACACTGCCAAGCCCATGGAAAGGCACCTGTGCTCTGAAAATCATGACCTCTAGACCCACAGAATTGAATTTTCAGCGACATTTTCCCTGAGTGAGTCCCAGAGAATGGTGGTAAGCTAGGCGGCTCCCATGTCCACTCCTCCGTTCCTGGACCTGTGGGCTCTGCCTGTCAGGGACATGGAGCACATCATGTGGACTGATTCGAGGTGTAGACTGCATCTCAGAGAATGGCTCCTACCTCGCAGAGTCTTATCTCCGAGTCTGTACTGGAAGGTCACTCCGCTGAACTATTGGTAGGACCAGTGGGTCCCTTGGCCATGTGCCCACTGCTGCACTTTTTCTGCCATAAAGGGGTGACCCAGAGGGCCCAGCGCCCCTCTCAGTTTGACTGAACTTTAGACAGGCTCTCAGCCCTCACCTCCCTTTCCTTAGAGCAGTGGTTCTCAACCTTCTGGCCCTTTAATACAGTTCCTCATGTTGTGACCCAACCATAAAATTATTTTCGTTGCTACTTCATAACTGTAATGTTGCTACTGTTATGAATCATAATGTAAATATCTGATATGCAGGATGGTCTTAGGCGACCCCTGTGAAAGGGTCGTTCGACCACCAAAGGGGTCGCAACCCACAGGTTGAGAATCGCTGCCTTAGAGCATTGCTTTAGAAAACGTGTAATTATACATTCTTCCTCTGTCCCTTTGGCATGGAAATGTTTTTAAAAGTTTCTTGAAAGATTTCCACCCCAGGAAAGTCTTCCTTCAGACCTAGAGCCATTCTTCTGGAATGCCATCATCCAGGAAGATAGAGCCCAGTGTCCCAGTCTGTGGGAGTGTAGGGGCCCCACTGTAGGAATGTCACTTAGCAACCACAGATGGCTAATCCCGGGGAAAAACATCTGCAAGCTCAGGAAAAACTCACTGTGTTCGACACAGCCACCGGCCACACTCCCCACGACACCCCACGACAGCTGCAGCCTCGCCTGGGGCTCCCTGCAGCACCTAGAAGCCCTACTGTCCGGCTGCAGCGCAGCGGAGCTCTGGCTCAGCCTGCTCTCCCAGGTTGCCATAGTCTCTTCCTTGACTATTTAACTTTGTTCAGCGCAGTTTTTGCTGTGACCGTGGTCTCCTGGCCACGCTGATACTGTGAGGAACATTCTGTAGGTGTATCTGACACTTTGGATATTGGGGGGAGCTGAGGCGCACAGGGCAGAAAAGTCATATCACACACAGGGTAAGCTGGATCCTGCTCCTCCCATGACAGAATGAGTCTCTTCGTAGTGGAAGGTAGAATTTTATTTATTTTTTACATGCTTCATGCTTTTAATTTTTGTTTTCATGGACCACTAACATATATCTGCAGTTATTTCTATTTTTTACTGGTCAATAAGCATTGTGTTAAAATATATGGACGCATGTACCATAATATCTTAAAGAAGAAGGAAGCCCAACTTGTTGAGATGCCTGAAGTACCTATGTCTGCAGGGAAACAAGCAAGCCAAGCGTCGAGTGATTTCTGAGTTGGAATGATATCTTCAAACCCCAGATGCTGGGCTGGTTCTGCGACCATCAGGAGTGAACCAGATGTGACCTGCTGTGCTCCCACGTTCCCTGGCTTTCTAAGAGCCTGTCTCCTCTTGCTAAAAGGGCTAACAATTCTATTGTGTAATGAAGCAGGTTATTACTAGACTATGTCCATAATATGTTCCGTTTTTGTCCACTCTGAAATAATGTGCTGGTTTCCTCCCAAGTGAACTGTTAAAAAATCAGAAACAGATTAAAAGTCTGGGACCTCTTATTCCCACCCACTCCTTTCCCATCGGGTCATGAGTGAGGGATTCAGTCCATGGAGGGTGTGGTCTGGGCGTCTGGCAGAGAGCTCTGAAAGCCTCCAAGGTTATCATTTCATTGCCATTTTCAGAGTCAGAAACATATGGCTTCTCACAAGAGGAAGTGGGAAGAATGACCTCGGCTCCGCTCAAGCTCTGCCGCCACCTCCAGAGCCACGGGAGCTGCCCTCAGCTGTATGGCAGCTACTTGCCCAGCTAGCAGACCACTATGCTCTGATCGACCTGTGCGCACGCCATTCCCGCCTCCGGACAGCATGGTGGCAGCATGTGCTTCCTCACACAGAACAGCCTCATCCTGAAAAAGCATCTTCCAGGAACCCTTCCCCATAACCTCCTTTTACGTTGCTCCCCGCCCGAGGCAAAAGGGCCTGTGGGATTGGCCAAGTGGGAAGTAAAATGATGTGCACAGTCTTCCTCCGAGAGGAGAGGGGCGCGTTAGCAGTGACCGGCTCTCTGGATCCTCTCTAGACCATTTACTGAACACAAACAGCGCCTTGCCCTTGGTGCGCTTGCAGTCAGCACTCCCCTGTGATTTATATTAAACCCATTTATCCAGCTAAACTTTATTTGTATTGTCGGACTGTTATTCAAAGTATTGGTCGCTTACACCTTGCAATCACACTTTTGGGGAAACTTATTTTTGCTGCGAAACATAACTTTGCTGGTTTTATTGAGTCACGTGTTCATTCATGTGTGCTCTTTCTTTACTTGACCGCGTGTGCGTGTGGGTGGCCAGTGAAAGCTGTAGGCTCTTAGATGATAGAGCCCTGTGGAGGGAGGTTCCTCCGGGCCCAGGCCCTGCACGGTGCTCAGTGATACTAGAAGCTGAGTCTCATGGCGACAGTCAAGCGCCATAGGCTGCTGCAGCAAGAAGGCTTCCCACGGCAGAAAACAATTCGCATTGAAGCCAACCGCACCGGTTTTGTCTGCAGTGAGTACCACGGTCGGCAGGGGCTGCAGGGGGCCGTGGTCACACATTGCATCCAACATGCTGTTAGATTAGATTATAGGCCCTGAAACAATTTCAGATCATTCATTTCTTGGTTCTCAACCACAATATGACACCCCATGTGTGTGTCACAGTGAAGTTGTGGTTCTGGAACAAGTTACTTTCTAACGTTCTGGAGTGGACTCACACCTGTGTCTAAGAGTGACATCATCACTCATTGTGCTCTCTGTGCTGTGGACACCAACCACAGGGAGCGTTTCAGGTTTCCTTTCGCCTTTCGTAAAGCATATCCAACACTCTACGTTGAGGGAGGAAACGTTATCTATTAAATGTGTCTAGCTAAAAGTTATCTATCAAATAGATAAATGCTTACCCACAAATCTGTTAAAGGGGTAGCCAGGTCTTGCTTAACCTCCCTTACTGGGGAGTAAATAGAGGATTGAGGGAGTTAAGAAATTTGCCCAAGATTCCATGAGGATGTAGCAGATAAACAAATTAGGACCCAAGCTCTCCTGGGACGGTCCTGCCTAGATTAGTGGTGGTTATGAGCACAGTTATCAAACCAAGATAAATGTTTCACTCCAACTGGTGGCGTGTTACGAAGAAAATTTCAACAAGAATCAAAATTATTTTAGGCATAATAAATATTTTTCAAGTTAAGGACAGAGCAGAAAAATAAAAATAGCCTATTTTAAATCCATACCTGATTTAAAACATATCTTTGTTGGTCATATACTATGGGCAAGGCCATTGTGCTAAGTGTGGTAGGGTGTTCAGAAATTTGTGACAATAAATTATTTCCAAGAAGGGAAATTGAAAACACTGAAATTCACACTGCAAGGTTACTGTTCCTACAGTCCCCAACAGAGATGGGCAACGAATCGAGCTGTGTCTTAACAAATTTCCCAGGAACAAAAAGTTAAGATTAAAAGAACTTGTAATAAGGTGGACAAAAGTGACTAAAAGTAAACCAATTAAAGTAAATTCAACGTGTTTAAAAAATGTTAGCTATTTTAAACAGTTCGTGTACAGAACTCCCCTCCCCCACCCCAGCAGCTCATAGGTTTCATTAGAAAACAGTTTTCTGTTTTAAGCTGAGACCTGGCTTTATCTGCACTTGGTGGTGTGTCAGCTAATTTGACAACGTGGCCCTTGTTGCGGGCAAATCATTACTAACACTTCTGGTGTCACTACTCAGAAAGGCGCACACAGGTCTAGGCCCGAGAAGCACCCGGGAAGCAGCCAGACAGCTTACAATGTAGAGCACACTCCTAATGAACCCTCCCGCTGTCTTACTCCTACGTACTCTCTCAGGAAGAAAGAGATGTCTGTACAAAGACTTGTGCACAAATATTCATAGCAACTTTATCAGAAATAGTCAAAAGCTGGGAACAACCAAATTGCTCATGGGCAGGTGGATGGAGAGCTGTCACAGGATTAACATGCTGGCTTTCATTTTGTCAGTCAAATCCTGCCAATTCCTAGGTCAGATGAGCGGCAGGACCTGCACGTATAATTCCAGGGTAGAAGTCATGCCACAGGCCTGGGATAGACACGGCCAACGCTGGATGCAAAGGGCAAGTGAGGGCTTCACGCTGTCATTTAAAGAGCATTTTTAGCTTCCTAATTACTTTATTGAACGTTCTACTTCCTTCTTAAGTAAGATTGTTTCTGGTGACAAATGGCTTTCATGAGGAGACTGTCCTTTTCCCTCTGCTGGGGGGGGGGG